TTGGATATTGTTCATCATCTTATTAATTCAATTCACTACTGGTATTTTGGCTCTGTGTTTCTCCAATATTCTGACTGAATGGCTTGCTGACAGATTGATGCTTACCATGCAAACTCTGTACTTCCGCGACACTGATGGTGTTGACGCTGCTGTAGACCACATACAACAAAAGTTCAAATGCTGTGGATCAAGGAGTTACCGAGATTGGACAGATAGCATCTTTCAAAATTATTCGAAACGAAATGAAATATTACCATATCCAAATTATCCACTAGTTGTTCCTGATTCATGTTGCGTAAGATCAGTTAAAAGCTGTGGAACACTACCGCACCCATCGAATGTTTATAATGAGGTAGGTGTTATATATATTTGAACACAAATATTGGTACAAAAGTCCACTGAATAAATATGCGTCACAGTCACTTGATGTGTGTGTGGGCTGTGTTACTGCCGGGTGCCCAGACCTAAGCAGGTTGTTTTCGTATTGGGGCACACCCGGGGCTTTCGGCATAAAGCTCTAATCTACAAAGCAACAGAACTACGTTGAGAGATGCATTCTCATCGTTGCTAGTGATCAATGATAGGTTAAAGTGCCGGACATTCACTTTTCGTCCCCTCAATTTCGTAAACAACACTCGCTTCTCGAGAAGGCAGTGAATAGGAGTTACCTGTCGGTGGCTGTATACGCGTGGTCATGTGAGAGCATTTCTAGTTCATTTTATTTATTTATTTTAACATATAGATATTGGTACAAGGGGGCACCAAATACATATGCGCCACACAAATCTCACTTGATATGTGTGAGGGCTGTGATACTGCCCGGGTACCTAGACCGAGGCAGGTGGTTTTCTTGGGGGGCCACACGCGGAGCCTTCGACCTGAAGGTCTGATCCACAAGGCAGTGTAGCATCGTAAGGAGATGCAGTCCCATGGTAGCCGGTGACCAACGATTGGTTCATACGCCATTTGTTCCTTCAGGATACTGGAGCGCATGTGCATAATCGGTTTGGAATTAGTATTTTCCAACTCCCCTAGGTGGAGTCTCTGTGTCCACCGACCCTGTTAGAGCGTCGAATATTCACTTTTCGTCCTCTCAACTCCGTAAACAACAGCCTTGTCGCGAGAAGGCATTGAATAGGAGTTACCTGTCAGTGGCTGTATACGCGTGGCCATGTGAGAGCATTTCGAGAGGGAGAGCGGACTCTCCCCAACCTCGGCCATATATATATAGACAATACATTTGAGGATAGTAGAAATACTATTTTCGTCAAGTTCCACAAAGTGAAAATTTAGATTTCTGATTCTTCGTGGCTTGATGTACACAACTTCTTTATCAACAGTCTACCCAGTACTCAGTTTATTCAAAACTACTAAGTCAAACCTTAGTAGTGACATATCTCAAGATACTACATATTATTGTATTGTATCGGTCGCTTTTATCGGTCACAGTGTAGAACCTGGCACTTACGTACGTCAACTCAAGTTGCCACACCCCATTACATACAGACTAATGTAGTTGTCAGGCCAAATCCAAGAATAGTAGAGGTTGTAACAACATCATTGGTAGTACGAAAGACTAGACATCGAATATACGGTTCGAGAAAATATAAATTAGTAAACTAAAAACGAAAAATGTTATGAAGAGTCTAGAATCTGATAATTATGGTAAAATGAATAACAGATGTATCTGCACTATTGTAAGTAATTTTGAGCCGCCATTCCAAGTCTGTGACTACTGGTTACGACAGTCGTGCGGACCCCAGCCAGATGGTCTACATCTGTCAATATGGCCCTGTCTAATTTTCAATGACTTCATGGACTAAGGCCACATTTTAGCTTGCCCGCTCCTAGCCTTCTTCCAATCTACTGCTGCACCAGACTACATCGGCAGTCGAGGTAAACAGTGGTTGGGCATAAGTAACACATGCCCCAACAAACTCACTTGATCGATTTCCCATCTTTACCTAGTACTCTATTCCTAACCTAGGGATTCCTTACTCTGTAGTCCCAAAATATATGAGCAATACTTCGAAGACACCTATGATCTAATGTCAGTAACCTGCGAATATCTTTTACTCTTAATGGCCTTGTTTCTCATCCACAAAGTAGAACGGAGCGAACTGTTTCGCAGCAAACTCGCCGTTTGATTGGAAGACGTCACAAGAAACACAAGTCTGGCAAAAGCCAATGGAGCTTTATGAATCCGTGCTGAGACTTCATCAGACACCAGGTCATCAAGACTGGTGATAATCCAAAGATAAGTGAGGTAGTCAATGCCTTCAGTTACTTCACTGATTATCATTAATTCAGGCGATGACTCGAGCCAGTTTCGAAGTAAAATTTTAAATTTGGAGGAAGAGAGCTGCTTCCTGAGTATGTTTACATTGTTGCTTTAGGTGGTCAGAGGACTGCTTTTCGTTAGCGCCCTCACCAAACAGAACTATGTCATCTGTGTATTTTTAGCTGACCACTGTATCTCCTGGTAAAGGACCAACTACTGAAAAGTTAGAGGATAAGTGTTATCCCTAAATCTGTGTCTACAATAGAGCTAAATAAAAATGGAAAAAAGCGGGCAGCCCTGACAAACACCACTTGAAGTAACCAATCCTAATGACAATTTCCCATAAGTCCTGACTCTACCAGTAGTGTTCGTGTGGAGAGCCTATACAACGTTAGTGTGATTGTCATGAGACATTTATTGTTTCAAGGTGCAACTACCACCTACTTACAAATATCGTGATTACTAAATCTACCGAATTGAAAAATGTTCGGAAACTCGTCTTGTCATGCCCCAAACAACAAAGAGCGACAGTAACTAAGACTGATAAAGTGTCTAACGATTGTGAGTAGCTGTGGACAACGAAAGCAAAATAGATAGGAAAAGCGCTGTATAACACTAAACAACTACTCAGATTGATCAAAACACCAGGTATTCGAAAGTCAGTTGTTAGTTAAGCTGTCTCTGTAAAAGATGAAATAGCGCTCTATCCGCAGCTCAGACGTTTAGAACGATGGATGAAACACTTGAGAACGGCTCAGCAGGGTCTCACTTACTCCGTGCTTCCAAACAACTTGGATAGAAAATCGTCACAGGTCTCACGACTTTCAGCAAGGTTGAAAGGGTCACATATAACTAAGGTAGGGAGAGCAGTATGATTAAATGGGTTAGACTCAGTGTTTGTTGGTGGTGGTCCAGTCTTACCGTCTAAGTTGACTGGAATATTAGCTAGACTCAGACAACTAGGCTTAATTTCATCTGGCTTATCTCGATCGCTGATCACCCTAGTTTATACGAAAGAGCTAAGATCATGCGACAACCAGCTTAGCGAATACTCGCGTTTAAGACGTAGTTCTACATAGTCATTTGATGCCTAATTGGAACTCGGAAGCAGCCGATTTTACACCTAGCTTTGTTTATTGACCAAATGTTTACACTTCGCCAAGTATTAGAAATCAGTTACACTGAGGCCTTATCATGACCGTATTCTTTATTCGAAAGACGCTATTCGACTGAGTCGATCGGAATGTCCCGCGGTAAGTTTTCCACTGAATGATGTACCGAAAAAGTACGTAAACCGTATAAGTCGTTCACATATGTGCGTTAGCCTAAGTCCCCATACGATACTAGTACAACGCGATGAAATTAAAATAATGAGTATCGAAACAAGAAATAAGATGTATAAAGGAATACCGGAGCTCAAGTTTTAGACGCAAATTTTTTAATGCTCAGAGGTTATGGTAGGTCGTCATACCAACTGGCAGCGGTGTTGCTCACTCTCCATTTTCGTTTCATTTTGTCATAAAAATCCTAGTGGTGACGTCCTCACCTGGTTTCATGATCTACCAGAAGATTCGCTTACTGAATACCCAGATGACATTGTTCTTCTTAGTGAAGACCTTGACGAGATGCAGTCTTGTAAACACCTTGAGTAACAATGCAGGTTTCTTTAAGATGTTTCTCCCTTTCCAAATAAAGAATGCTGCTTCGGGTTTTGGATGAGCCAATAGTTTGTGTGGTCACAAGGAGTGAACGCGTCGACCACCACTTACGTCCTTAAGCGATCCTAACGAGACCTCGACATCGATTCCGAAAGCCCGCTTAGCTTTCGCCAATTGGCCACCTGTAACGTCCGCCAACGAAAGGACAAACATATTGCACAAGAACCTACTAGTTGTTATCCTGTGGGTGTGAAATACAGTCCATTAAAGTTGAATATATTCTTAGTCTCTCAGTATCTGACCCAAGGTGTTTTCGAAGCGTTGTTCGCGTTTGGTAGGACGTTACGGTTTGGGTTCTAGACATTTTTCTGGGCGAGGTAGTGAAGTGTTGGCTGTGCCTGAGTAACACACCTCGACGCGCTAGGGTAACTGTTGTCATAAAAAGTTGGGAGAAAATTAGGGATGGGCAAGCGAAGACGTAGTTAATTAATGGAGTCAACGTCCGCACGACTAGTGCTTAGAGACGTTGGGTGATATGGGATATCCAAAGTCAGCAAATAACCCCAAAACAAATATCTGGCCCCCGAAAATAATGGACATACAAACAAATCCCTTGTATGCAGACTCAAATTCTAATATAGTCTTGGCTCACACTTTGCCTTTAGATCACAAAATACTGCTCGAGACGATAGAATAACGCTACTATTAGTTGGTACAGTCATAACCGCTTTTTTTTCAGGGATGTATGGAGTCGATACTTCTTAACCTACGTGAACAGTATTACATAATATGCGTGGTGGTGCTCGCTCTTGTTTTTGTGGAGGTAAGTTATATTTTGACCTGTACAATACTTGATTTTAGTTCTTCGGCGTGATACTTGCATGTTGCTATTCAAAGGCACCAAAGATGGACCGTTAAATGCTGCGCTTCAAAAATCTTAGTAATTAATATTTTTAACAAGTTTATTGACATTCATTTTTAATGTACAGCTTTCTTAAAATATATAATTTTTTGCACACAAGTGAATTTTGTATTAATACAGGATGACTCGAAAAGGCGTTTTATGCATCTCCATTGTATTCCGCCCTAATTTCAGCACCATACTCTCCATACTGCCGAATCATATCATCTCGACGGCGGTCACGGCGCTTATGATCACGATCACGATCCCGCTCATCTGGACTCCGGCGTTTTCGATGTCGGTCTCGACTCCCTAAAAAAGTTAGGCATAGTTTAGCATTGTGTACGTGTATGTGGTTAAAATCAGTTAACTTTCAAAAACATTGAACTCACGGCTACGACCGCGTCGATCACGTTCTTTTGATTTACTCCGAGATCGACTGCGCCTTCGTCTGTATTCTTTGTCGCGATCACGAACATGTGCACTTGAGATAGGTCGACCGAAACTGCGATCGTGACTGGGATCACGTCCATTTTCATGTCTGCGATGAGGCTTGTCAGTGGGTCCTTGGCGATTCTTACCTAAGCCCTTGCCTATAAAGAATAAACAGCTCAAATATTAGTTACGAATAATCCCTAATGATGGTTTGACAAATATATTCAAAACAGGAGACTTGATAATGAAAGAAAATGTGGTTCGAAAAGTGAAGGGCTGGAGCTTAAGGTCGAAAAGGAGGTAAAAAAAATAAAAGTATCTAAGTCACTGGTTAGATTTGGCCCAAGGCCTCCATCTACTGATTACGATCATCATGCCACCTGAATTCGGCATTCCTAAGTTTTGCAATCTAGTAAAAGCAACATCGCGGAAGCATCGATGTCACTCGACGCACTAGGACACGAAAAGTATGAATTCGACTTCTCCGTCAGGTTGTGTGATGCTTAGATTATAATTACATCAGCGGAACGCACTTAAGACCCACTCGAATAATGATCCAGAAAACGAACATTCAAACGCTTATTTTGTAAGATCAGGTTCCCACTGACTTAAAAAGGTTTCTAACGAAATATTCAAATTATGTCCGAGGGGAACATAGATGTCAAAAAATGTGAGTACCGGTCTGAAACATATATTTAAGCGGAGTATGTTACAGTTACTACTCCTATATTGTACTGCAGCCGGGACAACTTCGTTTCGGTTGTAGTAACACAGACACTCAAAGTGGACTGGCAGGAGTAGGCATAGCACTAAGCATGAGGGCGGAACAAACACTGTTAGAGTGGATCCCCGTCAACAGTCGGTTAAACGGCTCCGTAAGAACTCGGAAGGATAGGGACACACGTCGTTGCCTTTTTGTCGTTTCCGCCTACGCTCCCACCGACTGCAGCTCAGATGAAATGAAAGATGAATTTTACAGAAAGCTATCTGAACTTCTTCAGAAAGCTAAACGTTCAGACATAGTATTCGTAGCAGGTGACTTTAATGCCCAGATAGGTAGTTTAAACCAAACAGAAAGGCATTTAGGTGGGTATTTCAGTATTCCGGCTCAGCGAACGGATAATGGTGATCGTCTGCTGCAACTGTGCTCAGACAATCGTTTATTTTTAGCAAACAAAAATTTTAAGCATAAGGAGAGACATCGTCTAACATGGAGACCCCCTACACCAAGCCAACGATGAACTCAAATAGACCATATTGCCATCAGTCAGCGTTGGAGAGGGTCGGTACAAGATTGTCGCTCATTCTGGAGTACCTGCTTGGACTCCGACCATGCCCTAATACGGGCACGCATCTGCTTGCGCCTCACTGGAAAACGAGGCTGACCCAGATGTTGCTTGGAAAGCTATACAAACAGCTGTGACATCTATCAGTGATTTAAACAACAGGGTTACGAAGAACCAATGGATTTCCTCTAGATCTATTGCACTGATGGATTCTCGTAAACTCATCCCATCACGCTCTGAACACGATGAAGAGCGACAACAAATCAGATCTAGGTTAACCAAAAGTCTAAGAAACGACCGTGAGCAGTGGTGGGCAGCGAAAGAGATGGAAATGGCGGCGGCTATAGGGAACACAAGACAGCTCTACAGAATAATAAAAGAAACTGGAATTAATAAGTCAGGTTTGAGTCAGACTATTTCTGAAAAAGACGATACTCTCATCTGCTCCCAGTCCAGACGTTTAGAACGATGGGCGGAACATTTTAGGGAACAGTTCAGCTACTCTACAACTACCCTCCATTCCCAGACAGTGTCCCGATCGAAGCTGCTACCTTGACGCGGTGGTCGGGCTTGCCTATCGTGATGACCCAACCGAGCTATATTGGCTGGAACATATGTTCCTGCAGGTTCTACCATGCCAGGCAGGTCGATTGGTGAACGGTAAGACTAAAAGCAGCAACTCAAGGTCTGAGGGCGAAGTCGTACTGCTGACTGTAGAGAGGTGTGACAGCAGTAAGGTGTTTCCCTCGGACAACCAGCATGACAGCGATGCTGCCTTCCCACAAGGAGGGGTGGGGTTAGAAAAGGTCGACCCTAAAAATGTCATACCTCACCTTACCTCACGGATTCCCGTCTCCGGCGGTAAGGCCCTTTGAAGAACGGAGCTAACACGTCAAAAACCTTCCACAAAAAGGTCGTGCGCGACCGGCCTCAAGCAGTTGTCCCTTGGGCTCTGCGGTCACGCTCCCAGGTCGTCAAGACCAACACTAATCCAATTCCCTTTTCAGGTACCTCTAGAAAAACTCTTCCACGGTGTGGGCAGCCGGGAAGTGACATCAGCCCTCATACCCGTAACAGCACAAGAGACCAAGGTGGTCACATTCAAATCCTTCCTACACCTCCTAATACCTCTCTTATCCTCCCGACTAACCCTCTTCACGTCTCTTTATCACCTCGCACCGCTAGGGCAAACGATTCGAGTACGTGGAACGCTATTCCTGGTCTCCTGAAACCACGCTCTAAACTACACGTAGGAGCTTTTAACGTACGAACACTTTGCCAAATAGGACAGCAGGCTTCCTTAGCTAAAACTTTAGGATCTCGCGCCATCGATGTGTGCTGCGTCTCCGAAACGCGCATACAGGATCCAAGTAACGTCATTCATTTGACCTCACCATGCCAAAATAAAGAACCGACTCGATTTACGCTTCGTGTATCTGGAAGCCCTGATTCTGCTTCCCGTGGCCTCGCCGGCGTAGGTATAGCATTGAGTCCTAGGGCAGAACTAGCTCTCTTAGAGTGGATCCCAGTAGACAGTAGTTTGTGCGCTGTCCGACTAAATGGAACAGTAAGAATCCGGAAAAATAGGGACACTCGTCGTTGCCTCTTCGTCGTCTCTGCCTATTCTCCCACTGACTGCAGCTCAGATGATGTAAAAGATGAGTTTTACAGAAAGCTTTCGGACCTTCTCCGAAAAGCTAAGCGCTCGGATGTAGTAATAGTGGCCGGTGACTTTAATGCTCAAGTAGGTAAACTAAGCGATAGGGAAAGACACCTAGGTGGATCTTATGGTGTCGTGGCTCAAAGAACAGATAATGGCGACCGTCTGTTGCAGCTATGCTCAGATAACCGCCTGTTCCTTGCAAATACTAACTTTAAGCATAAGGAAAAACATCTTTTAACATGGCGACCCCCTAATTCGTCCCAACGTTGGACCCAAATAGATCACATCGCTATAAGCCACCGATGGAGGGGCTCGGTAGAAGACTGTCGCTCATTCTGGAGCACATGCTTAGATTCAGATCATGCTCTAGTGCGAGCGCGTATTTGTCTGCGTCTTACTGGACGTAGGAAAGACGCCGCAAGGAAACCTCTTAGGGGCCTACGTAATGATAGTCAAGCTAAGAGTATATTTCAGGAACAACTAGGCAAACAGTTAGGCAGCCATGTATGTGATGCCCACCCCGATGCAGCATGGAATGATATCCGAAAAGCTGTGGAAACAGCAGTGATATCTGCTAGTAAGGTAAACCAGAAGGTAAGGGAGCAACACTGGATCTCAGCAGCATCTATCTCACTGATAAATGTTCGGAAACACATTCCACCTGGCTCTGAACATAATGAAGAGCGGAGTCAGCTTAAGCGCAAGCTGACAAGAAGTCTACGCAATGATCGCGAACAGTGGTGGGTAGCGAAAGCAAGAGAGATGGAAAAGGCAGCGGCAATAGGTAATAGCAGACAATTGTTCAGACTCGTTAAGGAAACCGGAATTAGGAACCCGACTGTTAGCGAAACAATCTCAGAGAAAGATGGACATATTATTCATTCTCAATCCAGGAGATTGGATCGATGGGCAGAAGACTTTAGGGATCAGTTCAACTGGCCTTCAGCCACACTTCGGTTTCCCACGATCTCTAGTCAACCTGAATGGCAAGTTAATGTAGGTCCTCCGTCCCTTTACGAAGTTGAAAAAGCCATAGGAAATCTGAAACGAGGGAGAGCAGCAGGCCCTGACAGGTTTACTCCTGAGATTTTTAAGGATGGTGGTCCAGTATTAGCAATGAGATTAACCGAGGTCTTAGGTAGAATTTGGGAACTGGACGTAATCCCATCTGACTGGTCTCAATCACTGATTGTGCCAGTCTATAAGAAAGGACAAAAGTCCTCTTGTGACAATCACAGAGGAATCAGTTTGACAAATATAGTGTCTAAAATATTAGCTTCAATAATACTTCGACGCCTAATCAAAGCTCGTGAAGAGCAGACTAGAGAAAACCAGGCTGGTTTTCGACCTGGACGTGGTTGTATAGATCGGATATTCACACTACGTCAGGTTCTAGAACACAGACACACATTCAGACGCCCCATAATCGTAGTATTTCTCGATCTTAAGGCGGCATTCGACTCTATTGATCGTGAGGTTCTATGGCAGTGTTTGTCACTGAAAGGAGTACCAAAGAAGCACATTAACCTTATAAAGGCTCTCTACTCGAACACAACTGGTAGAGTGAGAGCTTATGGCGAACTGTCATCAGAATTGATTACCTCAAGTGGTGTTCGTCAGAGCTGTCCACTCTCCCCATTCTTGTTCAACTTTGTCATTGACGTACTTTTAGAGATAACACTCTCCTCATCTAAATTTACAGGGGTTGAACTTCTACCAGGAGGTTCACTTGTTGACTTAGAATATGCTGATGACATAGTTTTATTTGGTGAAGACGCTGACAAAATGCAGAGTCTTCTGACCACTCTAAGCAACAATGCAAGCATGTTCGGGATGCTATTCTCTCCCTCAAAATGCAAAATGTTGCTTCAGGATTGGGTTACATCGACACCCGAACTAGTGATAGGGAGTGAAGTAGTTGAGTGTGTCGACCGCTTCACTTATCTTGGAAGTCTCATCAGCCCTTGTGGTCTGGTGTGTGACGAAATCTCAGCACGGATACAGAAGGCTCGACTAGCTTTTGCCAACTTGCGCCATTTATGGCGAAGGCGAGATATCCGTCTATCAACCAAAGGACGTGTTTACTGCGCAGCAGTTCGTTCCGTCCTACTTTATGGCAGTGAAACATGGCCGGTAAGAGTAGAGGATATCCGTAGGCTACTAGTATTTGATCATAGGTGTCTTCGAAACATTGTTTGTATATCCTGGGACCATCGAGTAAGTAACACAGTTGTTAGGAAACGGGTACTAGGTAAGGATGGCAAATCAATTGATGAAGTAGTGAAACTTCATCAGTTGAGATGGCTGGGACACGTGTTACGTATACCCAACGACCGACTGCCTCGACGTGCTATGTTCAGTGGTATAGGAGTAGGTTGGAAGAAAGCTAGGGGCGGCCAAACCAAAACATGGCACAAGTCCATGAAGTCACTGACAAGTGGACTGAGTCATGTTGGTAGGTGTAGACTACCGGGTTGGGGACCGCGAGATGATAGCAACCGATGGTTAGAGACCCTGAATGACATGGCTCAAAATCGTTTACAATGGCGCAGGTGCATCCACTCTCTGTGTTCTCCCAAATTCTAATCTTCTGAATTCTTCATGTCCCTTTTTTCTCTTGTAAAATTTATTCCACTGGATTATGCTCTTTAAATAACATCTCCAAACCCTAATCTTCCCGATTACTGCTTATACTCTTATTACCTCTACCACTACGGGATTTGAATCGACAACTGCGTCTCTGTGCTAATGTGGTGTGGCAACTCGAACTGATGTACGTACGTACGAAGTTCTACGTTGTTACTGACTGAGAGACAGTGTGAATGGAACATTGAAGTTCAAAAGGCTATAGTTAATCTGCAACGAGGAAGGGCAGCTGGTCCAGATGGATTGGCTCCATAGGTCTTTAAGGACGGTGGTCTAATTTTAGCGATTAGGTTGACTAATATTTTAGCTAAGAACTGGGAGTTAGACGTTATTCCATCACAATCACCTATCGTCACAATATATAAGAGAGAGTTAAAATCATCCTGTGACAACCATAGAGGGATTAGTTTAACTAATATAGTATCTAAAATACTAGCCTCGATAATTATCAGACGCCTAACTAAGACTTGCGAACTGCAAACACGAGAGAATCAAGCTGGCTTCAGACCTGGTCGTGGCTGCATCGACCACATATTCACCATTCGTCAGGTTCTAGAACACATGCATACTTATCGACGTCCGACAATGGTGGTCTTTCTTGACTTAAAAGCAGCATTTGACTCGGTAGACCGCGAGACTCTGTGGCAGTGTCTGTCATTGAAAGGCGTACCTCAGGAGTACATAAACCTTGTGAAGGCTCTTTACTCGAACACTACTAGTCGACTCAGAGCTTATGGCGAACTGTCATCTGCTTTTGCAACCTCAAGTGGTGTCCGTCAAGGCTGTCCACTTTCTCCATTTTTGTTTAACTTCATCATAGACCTATTGATGGAAATAACATTCTCGTCGACTGAGTTCTCGGGAATTGATCTCCTTCCAGGAGGTCCACTTATCGACTTAGAATACACAGATGACATAGTCCTGTTTGGTGAAGACGCTGATAAAATGCAGAGCCTTTTGGTAGCACTGAGCAACAATGCCAGAATGTTTGGAATGCGCTTCTCTCCCTCTAAATGCAAGCTGCTGCTTCAGGACTGGTCTGCGTCAACACCTGAACTAAGGATAGGGAGTGAAAAAGTCGAACGCGTTGACAACTTCACTTATCTTGGAAATCTGATCAGCCGTAATGGGTTGGTGTCTGACGAAGTCTCAGCACGGATTCGAAAAGCTCGCTTGGCTTTTGCCAACTTACGTCACCTTTGGCGAAGGCGAGATATCCGTCTATCAATAAAAGGACGAGTATACTGCGCGTCAGTCCGTTGTTTTAATTTACGGCAGCGAAACCTCGCCATTAAGAGTAGAAGACACTCGTAAGCTACTAGTATTTGACCACAGATGCCTCAGAAATATTGCTGGCGTCTGCTGGGATCACCGGGTAAGTAATAGTGATGTTAGACGCAGGGAATTAGGGAATGATGGTAAATCACTTGATGAGGTTATGAATCTTCATCGACTGAGATGGTTGGGCCACGTGTTACGTATGCCTGAACACCGATTACCACGACGTGCAATGCTAACCGGTGTTGGGGATGGTTGAAAGAAAGTTAGGGGCGGCCAAACCAAAACGTGGCATCAGTGCTTGAAGTCACTAACTTCAAGTCTTAGCCATGTTGGTAGATGCAGACTACTTGGTTGGGGTCCGCGTGACTGTCGTAACCGATGGTTGGAGACTCTTGGTGACATGGCTCAGAATCGATCACAATGGCGTCGGTGTATACACTATCTTCCCTTAAACTAAGAGATTAAAATTGCTTCATATCTTTCTTTCTACGAACTAATTCTTTCTTCCTGTACCATATCCTTATTGCAATCTTTCTTTTATATATTACCACCCCTAAATTAACTACTTTTATGAATCCGGTGTCCATCTTGTTGTGTTAATGAGGTATGGCAACTTGGACCGATGCATATATGTGCCTGGTCCTACGTTGTAGCTGACTGACTGAGGCCGAACTAGAATAAAGACTCAACAAACATTCTGTAGGCTACTAGTTTAGGTGAAAAGATAGTTAACCGACATACTGAGAATTGTAGAAACCAAGTGATTGACTTACGATAGCAGTTTCTATGAGTACACAAATAACTGACTATCATAGTGTTCATATAACTTACCTAAACGCCTAGGCCTCCAATCAGGACGAGTCCTTCCCCGCTCAACGTCTGTCACAACGCGGACACCATCGATTTTTCTGCCATTCAGGGCTTTGACGGCGGCTTGAATGTTAAAAGGATTGCACATGACAATACAAGCACACAAAACAGGTTACACATGAAATCTCATTATTAGTACAAAAGAAATCACTTAAATATTTGGGACGTTTCATGAACAATTAGAATACAACACAATAATTTATAAGCAAACATATTGAACCATTTCCCTTTATTTGATCCTTTTTCGGAAGTAGTTATTACCAGATGAGCGGCTTGCACTAACTTAGAAACTCACCAAGAGTATCCTTCCTTCTATGCACAGCTACGTAGAATGACAAAGAGCTTCAAACAAAGGTGTATTTACAAAACTCTATTTCGTTCAAGAACTGGGACTAATATATCAGTTAACCAGAAAAGGTCTGCCCTATGGTAGCAACAAATGTGGCTGACCATTAATTAGTAGCTTACCACACAAACAAACCTAAGCCAGATTTTCTGTAGTTAAGCGCTTGGCTGAAAACCATGATTTTAAAATGCAGTGCAGGCCATTCAAAATATTTTGAGGGTGAACACAACTGCACGTTTACGAATAGATGCCTGAAGAGAAAAGAGAACAAACCATACAATGAAGGCTATGAAGAGCTAATTAACTATTTCGGCCTATAAACATGACACCCCTACGAATCACCACACTGAAAATGGGTTAACTAAAGATCACTGAGCAACTGTGAGCGGTGTTACAAAGTAAATATGGCAGCTCACCATGCATATCACGTTCATGTTCAAACTCCACAAAACAATATCCACGAGGCTTCCCCGTTATAACATTCTTTACCATTACAATCTACAAGCCAGTATATAAACCAAAGATAAGGTTACGTTGTTAATCCTCCCGAAGACATCAAGTTCCCGCTTTAGTTTGGATTCTGTGGTGTCATAGTTCTAGAAAGTCATAATGGCATGTTGATGACTTACAAGTCTGGCTACGAACATCGTGTTGTAAGGATTAGAAGTAGCCTTCGGATTTTTCTTAGGATTCCCTAAACAAAATCCATTAAAAAAATCGGAATCCAACGTACATAATGCGAGATCTTGTTCAAGTTTATAATTGGCTTGCTCTTGTTTCTCTCGACGCTGTAGGACAAATAACATAACACCAAAACTTACTTTTCTTTCCTTACGTTCCTCACGAGTTTCTATGCGCACTGGGGCCGGAGTTTCAGACGCATCCTAACAAAAAATAAGCGCTTATAGAACAAGGATAACAAAAGCATGGAATCCAACAGAAGAACCTCAGTACATTTGAAAGATTACTACTTAACATTAGTTAGAAGCTTACTTCAAACTCTCCCAAGAATTGAGCTACACCGGTATATGGTAATTTCCTATGATTTGCATGTTTCTCTATTGGTGGGAGGAAAGGGATTGGATCTCGTGGTGCGAAAAGCGCCAACAAATTAGGTGGTAAGAACTGTGTCATCCTCGAGGTTTTGAACAGCGCGCCTCGATGGTTAAGTCACGTCATAAAACGAAAGCAACTAATTTAAATAAGCTCCAAAAGAAAAACAAATGAATATATTAAGTTTAATTAGTAATATTACACTGTTTCTTTGCATTACTCAGTGAATCAGATCTCACGTAACGAGTTTCAGCTGAAACTGAAGTTACTATAGAATTGGATTTTCCTTAACCTTGTCTTACGTGGATAAAGTAGAATGCGGTCATCTACTTACTTACAAATTCATCTTTTCGAAAGAGATTTCACACTTTTTTTGGATTTTAACTACACAGCTAGTCATCACAATTTGTTGAACGTTTAGTCTAGTCATGGTCATTGTACGATTCTGATTGGCTAGTTTTTACATCTGTGCCTAAACATGCGTTTTCCCTTTATGGATATCCCAAGTCCTTATGTTTCATATTTTGTTCTCACTTTTGTAACGAGTGACTTTTAAAGTTATATACTGAGGATTAAAAAGACTCACAAATCTATTCATTTTTAATAAATCACACTTGAGAAATTAATCTCCTAAGACGCCGATAACTGTGTTGAACACTTTATTCACATGAAATCAACAGAAGAATTTCAAGATCTATATACTGAAAAAATTCAGCAGCCACAAAGCATAATACACAGTTTACTATGTGTCGTTGTGTAACAGATCAGATAAAAACATTTAATTTTGGATGTTCTCATGGACAACTCAAAGTCAGAATGACCGATCAGCGCATTGTGATTAATGTTAGTGGTCTTCGCTTCGAAACTCATACTGACACTCTAAATCGTTTCCCAAATACACTACTTGGATGCCCGTTCCGAAGAAGCCGTTATTATGATTCTCTTAGAAATGAATATTTTTTTGACCGCAATCGTCCAAGTTTTGATGCAATACTCTATTTTTATCAGAGTGGTGGAAGACTTAGAAGACCTGTTAATGTACCAATAGATGTTTTTACGGAGGAAATAAAATTCTATGATCTAGGGGAAGAAATTTTCGAACGTTATCGTGAAGACGAAGGATTCACTAAAGAGGATATCCATGTTCTGCCTAAAAATAAATTCCAAAGGAAAGTTTGGTTACTTTTCGAATACCCCGAGAGTTCAACTGCAGCACGATGTGTAGCTATTGTTTCTTTATTAGTCATTCTTATATCAATTATTATATTTTGCGTTGAGACACTACCACATTTTAGGCACTATGAACTTCAATTTATCGAAGATTCTAATGAACTACCAATAATTTCTGCTGTTGATACTCCTCAAGTTACAGGAACACTATTTATTTTAGAATCTATATGTGTTGTATGGTATACCTTTGAATTATTAATACGTTTTGCAGCTTGTCCACAAAAGTTAGCATTTTTTAGACAGGTAATGAATCTTATCGATGTGGTATCAATTATTCCTTATGCTATTTCAATAGGGGCACTTTTAGCTGAAGCTAACAAAGGCCAAAATCAAGCTATGTCATTAGCAATTTTAAGAGTGATCAGGCTTGTCAGGGTTTTTCGCATATTTAAATTATCACGTCATTCTAAAGGACTACAAGTTCTAGGGAGGACACTCAAAGCAAGTTTTCGTGAATTATGTTTACTTTGTTTCTTTTTATTTGTTTGTGTGGTTCTGTTTTCGGCTGCAGTTTATTTTGCTGAAGTCGATGCTAGTGAAGAACAATTTCCAAGTATTATTGATGCATTTTGGTGGGCAGTAGTGACAATGACTACAGTAGGATATGGGGATATGAGACCTGTAACAATGTGGGGAAAGATTGTAGGTTCAATGTGTGCAATTGCAGGTGTCCTAACTATAGCACTTCCTGTACCTGTTATTGTATCAAACTTTAATTATTTTTATCATAGAGAATCAGAAAGTGAAGAACTAACTACTTATGTCCATGTCTCAGATGATCAAAAGGGTTTTAATTATCCCGATAATAAAGCTTTAGGTAATTTTCATGATGAAACACTTGAGGATAGAAATGAAGAAAAATACAAAGGAAGGAAGGCAGCAGTAATTTTACGACAATCTTTTTCACAGCCATCTGATCGTGAAAGAGTTTCTTCTGTATTAAGTAGTACTTTAAAAAATCTTGAAGTAGAACATGAGGAGGTATCCAGTTGTATAGATTCATTAGGTGAATTAGACAATCTATGCATGGAAGCAAGAAATTCTCAGGTGAATACAAATCAAGCCTCTATATCATACAGACATCATCATCAAGCTTTTCAAGAGGTTATGCAAAAACACGATATGCAAACACAGCGATTTAAAGATCTATATCCTCAACAACTGATAGCATCTAATAACAAAAGAATTTCACTTCTAACTCATTCAACAGTTTTTCCAGAAGAATCTTGTTTGAACAAAACCTGATATATATATATATATATATATATATATATATATATATATATATATATATTCATTGATGTTTATCATGTATGTTCAGTTGGTTGTTACTTCCCTTATTATTCGGATCTACTAAACTGTAGAATTTATAAATATTGGATACACAATAACCAAGTCAATTATATATTTACACAAGCCTTCAATATATATATATATATATATATATATATATATATATATATTTGTTTAAAACTCCGGTGTTTAAATGAACGACGATATTCAACATGTTCTGTTATGAAATGTTTTTATTTGATCAACATCTAATGAATAAGACAAAAGACTTAATGTTAAAAAGATCAATGTATTCTTCACACACACACACACACATACACTTTCCTCTTCATTTTATAACTTCCTGAAATGGAAACTCACTCTATAAAAAAGGTCAGTTGGCTGATAATTAATTTTGTTTCTAAATATTTTCATAATATTTCATTCATTATTATATAAAGCACTTGATAAAATAGGTATTAATACTAAGATTGAATTTGATAGTTTCAAATAAATTGACCATTAGTTAGAGAGTTAATCATAAATATGTTTTTTTTGTTATATCCCAATGAGTAGAATAATAAGAAAAGTATATTTATTATCAGTTCATAAACTTTCTTTTTTATATGATGACATAACAACAAAAAAGTATCTAAACTAATGAGCAAACTATATTGAAACATATTGAATATATTTCATACCTATTTTATCAGACATCATCCCCCAACTCATTATTCATATGAGAATAATTCTACAGATTATCTCTTAAACATACTAATTGTCAATAATACGTTGTTCTTTTTTTCTTTTCGAAAGATTGATTTATGGAGGTGAACAACTGATGATTCTTTTATTTTTTGTGACAGATATGATAATGAGGAAATAATAAATTAGGAAAAAAATGGATACAAATTAAAAGCGATAGTAATAATAATAATAATAGTAATATGATGTTATCGATATTCTATCAGATGTGTAACGAACAAACTTACTAGATAAAATCTTTATTGGGTTTGAGAATCTATTGATTTCTCTTTAATTAGTTTGTCGTTAGTTTTTCTCCTTTTTTTTACTAGATGACTGTAATATAAGTGCACATAGTTAGATAAGTTTGAATGTAAATATGTATACGTGTGAATGTTAGTATGATCTTTATTATCTTGACATTTAATGGATACAGGTCATGCTTCTTGTTATTAGGGTATATAATATTTATCATTATTGATTTACAAGGCTTAGTTTATCATCCGCCCATAATGAAATTGTGTGAGAAGTCGTTGTATATGGTTTATGAAAGCGATATGTTATAAAATTAAACACTTGTTTTTGGTTTTAATGATAACTTACTAAGTAAGGTTATCATAGTCTTAACGATTCTTTTGAGTCACCATTAAAATTCACACCTCTATAGACTAACTCCTTAAGACCAAAGCAAGATGAGACCTGAATACTAAAGTTCACTGATAATCAAATTATATTTCTCCTTTTACATTAATCTAAACTGTCAGTCTATAAGTTATCCTGACTGATGTACTGGACATGTGTCATCCCAATAACTTTTTGTAATCTTCATTGACATATAATATTCAACATTAAAAATGCTTATTAAATAGCTATTGTTTTTTAATAAATGAAACGTGATGACACTTTTCGGATAGAAAATGCAGTTAAGTAATCTTTTTTAACTCCCGAAAATATGCATTAAATAAAGTAAATTACTCCGAGTTTCTCTTCAAAGTATTTGAACTATGAATTAGTCAGTTTTTTTTAATATTTGGGTGATTCGTTGTTTGTACAAACTAATTCAATTCATAATTTGATTTGATATCAGGAAGAATACAATGCAATGTTAATTGTCAGTGATTGTCACTAGTTACTGTTTACAAAGGTAATAATTCCTGCAAATGCTAAATACTTTCATAAATGACTATTTATTGATGAGACTATTATATCCATCGAGGTTTCCGGTCGCCCTACAATATTTGACAATTAAGATACGAGTGAGCTATTCTAATACGAACGGTTTTATGGTCGGCTCTATAACGGCAGCTGACACACAATAGCTCAATAATTATCGGCTAACGCAAGATAAAAATGAACTGTAAGGGAAACCTGATGTTCAATCAGAAAAGCCTGAAATGGTACAACTCAGTATACACAGTGACGAGATCATAACCTTCAAGCACATGAATTAGCGAGTTAAAAGTAATGGCAGCCAGTAAGAAAATAGCAATGGTCATGAGAAGAACTGAATTAGGAAAAAAGACATTCGAGCTTATTGTTCGTACTAAAACTTTTGTTATTATCATTAAGAATTAAGTAATTCCATTATCGTCTTAAAAGTAATGCTTGGGATAACCAACAGCATTAATATTCACCTTAAATATTTATTCTTGGCATGTGAAACCAACTAGTTATTGATTCACTTACCACAGTTAAAAGCCATCATTTTATGCAAAGAATAACCATACATTTTTATGCAACTATCTTTTAATCAAAGTGATTTGTAAATGTTCTTTTATTTTTGCTAAGGTTTTACTCACAAATTAACCTGTAAAATGATCCTTATTAAATTGGGT